CATTACAGAGCCGCTGTGCTTGAAAAGTCCCATTTTCTGAGACTGAGTGACAGGTTTATTGTCCTTCTTTGTTTCTAATATTTACAATACATATCTTGTTTTAATAGATGCTTATTACTAAAAGTTTTGTTAGTATAAAATACTTCATAAAGAAATTCAACACAGCCTTCTCTATTTTTTTAAGGAGATGGAGCAATTGACATTAGTGGAACAGTAGATGTTTCTATTGTTCCTTTTTCATTCAGGAGGCTGCTAGGGAGAGACAAAGGATGACAGGAAGAGATTGCTCATTGCTTGCTTAGCCCAGTACATTAATGAGTCTTTGGTTGTACAAATATGAAGTGTTTTGGATCCGAAAATGGAATGTATTTTTTTCCTAAAACAATAAGGTTTTTAAAAACTTTTGAGAGGAAGGAGGCAGAGGAGGAGTGGATGAGTGTGAGAGGTGAGAGAAAATAACAAAGAAGAAAATGAGTGGGCATATTACTTTTACGAAAATGAAAACCTGATACTCAGTGTAAATTATGTGTCTACCACTTAAATGCCTTCCAGTACTAAGGATGTTAAATTAATCCTGCTATTCAACAAAGACTTTGTGTAATCAGTAAGTCAGGGCATTTTAATTTTTATATTTTTAGGAAATCATGAAAAGGATCATGTTCTAAGAGTGGCTGATGTATGATAGAGAAACAGTGTCTCAAATAACATAAAAGGTCATTGATTAATGTAGAAGTGCCTAAGTTCAACAGAAACAAAACAGGAGTCCTCAAAATGCTCAGGCCTCCAGGCTTCTGCCTTGTTAGGCCCCCTGTTGAGGTGACAAGCAGTTAGTTGAACCTAACGCTGTAATCTCCAGCCCCATGATGGATTGTTTGGTTGGAATTTCAATTGAATTTTAAAAGATCATAAGATCCTGGGTTAGAAGATTATTCTTCCACCCAAAGTGTTCCTAGTGACCTCTTTTATTTGTTTTTCTATTTTTAGATACCCACTTTTCCAAATTGTTAAAAGGTTACATGATATTTTAAGTAGCTGCTCCAAGGTTGCTACGTGCTTAGCTAAATCGGTTCTCATCAGCATTAGCACCTTAATGAACAAATTCTCTATAGCCCAGCCTTAATCAGAACATTTTTATAAATTAGAGCAATGATCAGCTCTCAGGCTTTATGTGCCTCCCTCAGACACTGAACTTAAGATCCCTGGAGGAACAGCCCAAACCACATGGTTGGTTGTGCATCCGAACTTTTAGGTTTCGTAACACCATGGTCTCCATCAAAAAAATTGATACACAACCCCTGCTCATCCTAGTATCTTCATAAAATATCTAGTGATTCTAAACTTAACATTTTTTTTTTTATTTTGCTCAGTATTTTTGGGATAAATTCTGTTACACTGGCTTAGATGACTGGTGTTGTCCTTGGATGTCTAAAGGCTGATTTGGGGAATCACTTTTCTAATCAGTTGTTCACCCACTTAGCAGTAATCTGATCTAATCACAATTCTCCTAGTCTTTGATGAGTTCTCATGTGAAGCCAAATCTAAATTCCCTCAAAGATAAATGTTTCATTTGCCCTTTTTCTGATCAGAGGAACCCTCACAGAACTCTAGGAGTTTATGAAGATGATTACAATGAGCTTGTGATTTCAACCAATTGCCAAAATGCCTTGGGATATTTTTTTCTTTTTCTTCTTTTTTCTTTTTCTTTTTTTTTTTTTTCCATTGCATTTTAGGTTTTGGGGTACATGTGAAGAACATGCAAGATTGTTGCATAGGTACACACGTGGCAGTGTGATTTGCTGCATTCCTCCCCATCACCTATATTTGGCATTTCTCCCCATGCTAACTCTCCCCAACTCCCCACCCCCTGCTGTCCCTCCCCTATTTCTCCCCAACAAATCCCAGTGTGTAGTGCTCCCCTCCCTGTGTCCATGTGTTCTCATTGCTCAACACCTGCCTATGAATGAGAACATGTGGTGTTTGATTTCCTACTCTTGTGCCACATATACACCATGAAATATTACGCAGCCATTAAAAACGATGAGTTCATGTCCTTTGTACAGACATGGATGAACCTGGAAACCATCATTCTCAGCAAACTGATGCAAGACCCTTGGGATATTTTTACCTTGGGAACTATCTTTGCAAAGAGAGGATGTTTCTTCTAGAAGAAATCATTTAAGGCAACTTTAGGTTTAAATGTCAGATATTTTTCACTGGAATCTCTATACTGTATGGTAGGAAGAACTCTTAGAGCTGTGTTGCTAGAACCCTAACCTCAATTGTGCTATTAACTACTTCAGTGAACCTAGACAAATTACTAAGTATCTAAGAAGATATTCTTCTTGTTTATAAAATATGAAATTGGGGGTTCTCTACTATCTCTTCTAGCCTCAATATACAATGATTCCCAAAAGTAGATTTGGACCACTCTGTTCCTTTCTGCTTTTTCCATAATGAAGACATCCCTAGTATTCATCTATAGTTTTTCCTTAAGCAGTTTTTTTAACCCATAATATAATATTGATTTGTACCCTTGCTCTGAAAACTTGAATAAGCCTGATTAACATTGTTTGCCAATCAATGATTATGTTTGATATCTAACAATATAATAAAGTCTATTACATGGATCTAGATGTATTTCTTTAACAGTTTTTGTGATTTAGGAACTACTTTTTAAAAATTACAATGGTACCATTGTATTAGATTTTTTTTTTTTTTTTTTTTTTTGAGACAGGCCCAGACTGAGCGTAGTAGTACTATCTTGACTCACTGCAGACTCAGTATCCAGGACCAAAACGATCTTCCTAACTCAGCCTCCCAAGTAGCTAGAACTGCATGTATCCACTGCCACTTTTAGATACCCACTTTTCAAAATTGTTAAAAGGTTACATGATATTTTAAGTACCTGCTCTAAGGTTGTTATGTGCTTAGATAAATCAGTTCTCATCAGCATTAGCACCTTAATGAACAAATTTTTATTTGTTCACTAACTTTTTATTCTTTGTAGGAATGAGGGTCTTATTATGTTGCCCAAGTTGTTCTCAAATTTCTGGACACAAGCAATCTTCCCACCTTAGCCTCCCAAAGTGCTAGGATTACAGGCATGAGCCACCATCTCTGACCTCTTGTATTAGTTAATCTACAACATTAATTCACAATTTAAAAAAATAGCTATGCAAAGATACCCTGGTATAAGTAGAAAAGTTTCAGGAAATGATAGACCTGATTATTCGTCAGAAGGTCATGAGGATAAAATTTAGTTGAAGTTTCTGAGCAATCTAAAATTCCATTTGTATCATCTGAAATCAGGAATGTGCTCTTTTAACTAACTTTTTTTAATTGTGCAGAAAAGCAATGTGTTACTTCAACAGCATTTAGTCATAGTAAAATCCAGTTCAGCTGTTAAAAAAGAAAATCATCTTTTCTCTCCCTGCCCTGGACTGTTCACAAAGAATCTACAAATACGGTCCCTTATTTCGTGTGTGTCCCAAATATAACTGGCATAATTATCTTCATATTTGGCTCATTAAGCATTACATTCTTCTGTGATTCACTGCAGTGTGACACTGGCCCAGCAGTGAAATTGTTCTCTGTGACATAAAGGGAAAAAACATGATTCTGTTTTACTAGTTTTACTGTTAAGCCTATGGTTACCAATTGAGAACATTACTTTGATGTATAATTAATCTCACTGAAGGGTGGTGTTTTCTACTTTCTAATAGAAAACTAGTAATCTGCATTTGCAACAGGCCCAGACCGTCAACCAAACCCAGGGTCCGCATTTATCTTGAAGGCTTGCATTGTTCCCTGCAGTCATGGGGAGAGCAGCACATTCTTCAGAAAGTGGCTCCTTGAGTCCTTGGACACTGCAGCTGTAATAGCAGGAACTCACCTCATCCATCTCACCTGTTCTGCACACGGTCACTGCCTCCAAACCATTTTGTTACCTTGAAAGCTAAGCAGATTCCTGGATCAGTGGCCTCTTTCACCTGAGTTGCTGTTGTAGCTGTCATAATCATTTTATCTGGGATTAGTGTGGGGTAGAGGTAGGGACCACATTCTCAGGGTAAAATAGAAGAAGAGTGAATTGTTTCTTTTTTTTTTTTTTTACAATGATAACATTTTAATTTCTCCAGAATTATTGGCAAGCATTTTAAATATTGAGAGATAAAGAGTTGTTTTCCCCATCTGGAAAAAAAAAAAAAAAAAAAAAAAAAAAGAAACCTGTGTTCTGCCATCTAAGGAAAGGACATTAATTAACCAGGAGGGATACATGTTTATCTCATACATATGAGTTTCCTCTGAGTATCCAAATGCCTCCAACCATTTAAAAAAATGGCATATAAATGCCCAGTGTGCTTCAATAAGCGTCATCTATTGATAGATCTGATCGTCAGGTACCATCCGTGACTACACCTACTGCAGGCACACGGCCTTCCTCCTTGACCCTGTCGATAATGAATGTGTAAATGCCTATTTGTATTCATCATGGGTCAAAACTTTGTGTGCCTTTACTTCTGCTGTCATCACATTTTATAATGGGCTTCTCTCTGTATTGGACTATCACTCAGAAAAAGGATTTTTAAAAAATTAACACCTATCACTTATACTCCGACACATTGAATGGTAAAAATTGCAGGTTGATTTTTTGGTTACATTTTTTTTCTTCTTTATTCCAATTTGAGACTTTTATGATTTTCCCTAATTCCTTTACCTTCAAGTACTTCCAGAGCAATTTCCTTGTCTGGCCAGCGCAGTATACAGCAGGTGATCCCATAGGGATTGTTTTTATTTGAATTATTTGTATGTGATAATCATTGTATTCCAGAACTCCTTCCTGAAAGAGGGGCATCTGTCGTGATCAGTTCAGACCAGTATAAAAAAATTCTGTAGACTGGGTAGCTTAAACAAGAGAAACTCATTGCTTGAAATTCTTGGGACTGAGAAGTGCAAGATAAAGATACTGGAAAATTTCCTTCTTTCTTTTTTTTTTTTTTTTTTTTTTTTTTTTTTGAGACTCTTACTTTGTCGCCCAGGCTGGAGTACAGTGGCTTGATCTCGACACACTGCTATCTCTGCCTGCAGAGTTCAAGCATTTCTCCTGACTCTGCCTCCTGAGTAGCTAGGACTACAGGTGCATGCCACCACACCACCACGCCCAGTTAATTTTTATATTTTTAGTAAGAAAAAGGGTTTCACCATATTTGCCAGGCCGGTCTTAAACTCCTGGCCTCAGGTGATCTGCCTGCCTCTACCTCTCAAAGTACTGAGATAATAGGTGTGAGCCATCACTCCTAGCCTCTCCTGTTTCTTCTAAGGGTACTAATTCTGTTCATATGGTCACTACTCTCATGACCTAATTAATTTATAAGGGGCCCACCTCCTAACACCAGCACATTGGGCATCAGATTTTCAACATTTTAATTTGGTGATGAGAAGGGGGAGGATACAACATTTAATCCTTAACAATGCCCAGTTAAATTTATCATGAATTCTAGAAATAACTGGCTATTTTTATAGTTGATTTCATATATCATCATTTGTCAATGGACAAAAGTCATTTCTAGGCCTCCGTTTTCTTTTGTAGATTTTTATCGCAGGAATTATAGGGAGGGAATGGTAATGTAGCATATATCTAGAGATTTTTACGATGAGCAACTCATAATGCTGTTTGTCAGCTTTCTCTGACACTGGTGTGCCATAGTTTGAGTCATACTGTCAACTTTAAACACTGTCTAAACATGAATTTTAATGTCTCTTAATGACATTATATTGCCTTCATATGTGGGTACCAAGTGTGCTTATTTCTAATTTGCAGTTGTAATGTTAAATTCTAACTCAATTGCAACATCACCTATAAACACTTTCACTGGTCTCCTGTTTGAGAAACTACCTGTTAATGGTTCTAGATGTACTTAAAGATCAATTCAAAATAAGTTACATTTACTTTGGTCTTCTGCTAGAGAAATTGTGTGTTGCTGGTTCTAGATTTACTTCACGATCAGTTCAAAGTAACTGTTTATTCATTTATATAAAATAGTATCCAAAAAGTGTTCAGGGCCATTTTTAAGTAAAGGTACCGCAAAATAGGTCCTTCCTGGGATATACAATGTCCTTTCTCTAATTTAATATTTGAAATTCTCAAAGATACTATATTTGATCAGGAAAGGCCTGTAGTCAAATTTGTTTTAATATCTATTTGGGCTATAAAAAAATAAAAGATTGAGAGATAAGAATATATATCTACATACATATATATATATACATATAGATAGATATATAGATATATAGTGTAATGATAACAATATCCATTCTTTTCTTTCCCTTTCTATGCCTACTTACCTAACAAGAAAATTTTGAAACTCTCTGAACTCCTACATATTTGCTCTGGAAATTACCTCTAAATGTTAGGGAATGTCTCTTTCCTCTTAGGGCACACTGACCCATTTGATTGATGGTTTAATATCTTCCCCCAAAGTACCAAGTAATGTTGGTTGTTTCTTTTAATTTCAAAACCTGTGCAGTAGTAATACAGGTCATTACCGATCTCCTGACCCAGACCTTGGGTGCCAACAAAATTAAGTGCTTGCTATAAGCCATAGATACCTGCAAGCTATCAACCTATTGATGATAAATAGCAAACTATATGGCCTAGCAATATGCACATGATTGTCTGATTCCTATTCATTTGTACATGGAGGTAGGGTGCTGAGATAACTAAATAATTAAATCACATAATGCAATTAGACTTACTCCATTAGGGTGCTCTTCACCCCGCCATTCTTCTTGCTGACAGGATGCATACCAGGTTTCACTCCAGTGCAATTAAGCTGATTAGGTAATACTAAGCTGTTCAAATATGCAGTAGGTTTTTTGTTGTTGTTGTTGCTGTTTTAAGCTCCATAAGTCAAAGGCCAAATTCTTGAGATACAACAGCAGGTCTTCAAGTGATGTACATAAAGCTCTTTACCCAACACATTATGGCAAAGTCAAGTAGCCTTAACCCTTAAAGAGCATCCAGGTCCCCAGAATTGGTTACTAGGTTATAACATTAGATATTGTGTTGTAAGGAAAAAATATGTAAATTACTCATGCATTTCCTAGAGTGCCACTGAGTAGACTGGGCTCTTGCTCTAGCATCCATAGGATGCAAAGCTATTTCTGTTCTATCCTTCACCATCCATCCATCCCTTAATTTTTCCTTAATTAATAATATGTTAGCAGTATCCTATTATAGGCTGAGTACCTATTATATGCATGCAATATCCAAGATTATTTGCATGTAGCTGTTGAATGCACAGAATAGCCTTGTGGTTTGATATTCTCTGTCTGGAAGAATACAGAAGCTAAGGTAGGTTAGCTATCTTGGCTAAGATCACACAGCTAATTAGTAAGAAAGCCTGGACTTGAATCTAACTCTGTCTTAACTCCAAAGTCCACATTTGTTTCCCTGTAGCAGGTTGCCTCTTGATAAAAAATAACAGGAGGAACAATATTTTGTGCTTCAAATACAACTTGGTATAAATCTGTTTCTGACAGTGTCTAGCATCTTCTCCAAGGAGGATAAGGGAACCAAGCCCCCTCTGTTGTAAAAATTTCACATCCCAATCAGATAACTGTCAAATCAGGGCACAGCTTCTATTGCTGGACACTAGTACCATGTGGTGTATTGTCAATCTTAACTAAATACCACATCCCAGCAGGCTCAACTAAATCTGTGTATTAGGAAAAATAACAAAGGAATTAAAAGATTTCATCCTCACATCAGTGTCTTAGGCGATTTCCAGAAGAAGGACTTTGTTGTGAAAAGAAGGTCAACTCATTAAGAAACGGAAAACAAATCCCGTTTCTTTTTCTTTTATGAATTCTCCACATAAAGCATTAATTTCTATTTTTATTTTTTTAAGATGTATGTTCTTCCCTGCATGAGACCTTTTGTCTAGAGGTACCCATTCTGATCAAAATTCTGTTTCATTTGGAATAGTGAAACTCATCTCTTGATTGCTGTAATCCAAAATTCTTTTAAAAATATGGTCACAAATGAATTAATGAATTGGAAGAAATAACACAAAAAGCAAGGTGTTACTGGTATCATTTAAGACCTTGATGCTAAGACAATGGAATATATACATTCAGATTATGTTCTACTTCTTTTTAGATATTATACAGCTACATTATCCTTAAAACTGTGTAAAACATGAAATTTAAATCAAAATATGAACAAACAATTCAGGAGGTAAACAAAAATAGTTGATAATATGGCTTAATATTTAATTTTGCTAGTTATCAGAAAATGTATATTAAGCAATTAATATTTTATTCATTAACAAATATCTCAAAAATATATTCAAATCTGGTGAGGTGAGAAAAAATGGTAAACTTCTGTAATGCTGATGCCTGCATCAATTTGAATTCTCCTTTTGAAAATAAATTTAGGGCTGGATATGGTGGCTCATGCCTGTAATTCTAACATGTTGAGAGGCTGAGGTGAGGGGATCACTTGACACCAGGAGTTCAGGACCATTTGGGGAAACAGAAAGACCATGTCTCTGTGAAAAATGAAAATAATTAGCTGGTCATAGTGTCACACATCCGTAGTACCAGCTACTAAGGAGGCTGGGGTGTGAAGACCACATGACCCAAGAATTCCAGGCTACGGTGAGCTACAATGGCACGACTGCAATAAAGCCTGGGAAGATCTAGTCTTAAATAAATAAAAATTAAAATAAATAAATAAAATTTTAAAAAGACACCTGATAATGCGTCATTTTCACTCAGTACATTTTATTGCAAAGATGATGGTCACAATGTTTTTTTCATAGCTTCATTTATTTTATTAAAAAATGTATTCAACAAACACATGTAGAGTCTCAGAGTTATTTAGCCATTGGGGAAATAAATAATAAAGAGTCTCCCATCCTTTGCTTTCATGGAACCTATAGTCTAGATATACATGATATTCATGAATAGTTACATACATGAGTAATTGGGCATTGATATATATGAATAGTTGCTTAGTAGTGCAAAGTATTCTGGAAGGACAAAAAAGAGGAATGTAACAAATCTAGGATTTGGGGGACTCTGGTGGCCTTAAATAAGATGTGTCAACTAAGCTGAACCTAAAGGAGAAGAACTGGCTAGAGCAAAAGAGGGGGAATGTTTATATCATAGGGCAGAAGGAAAAGCAGGTGTGTGAGCTCCAGGTGAAGAGCACTTAGATCCCTAAAATAATTGAGTGGCAGTCCCTGTAGCTTCCAGGTGGTGAAGTGATTAGGCATTGAAGCTAAGGATAAATGCAGGGACCACATCATGAAAGGCCTGGTCAATCATGATAAAAAAATATATATAAGAAATTTTATTGACAAGGCTGAATAATTTTATCCAAAGGATTAAGAACTTCAAGACAGAATGACATGTTTGAATTTGCATTTTGGAAAGGGCATTCTGCTTTGCAGTGTGTAGGAAGGATTGAAGGAGGGTGGGCAGGAACAAAGGCAGAAGTAGAAAAGGATCCATTCTAGTCATGTAGGGGAATAATGGTAGTGACTCAGACAAGCATAGGAAGAATGGAGATGAAGAGCAATTGCTGAATTTGAAGGATATTTGGGGTGGGGGGAATCAATAGCATTTAGTGATCAATTGGATATAGGGGCTGAATGGGAGAAAAGTAGTTGATATGCAGGTTCTAGCTTTAGGGAACACAGTGATGCTTCAGAGAGAGAATGATACTGAAGATATAAATTTGGGTATGATATAGATATGTGGAGAATTATAGTATCAATATAATGCTAAAGTTTGGATATAACTAAATGTTAAATAGCAAAGAAGTAGATCAACACTGACACATCTGCAATCATCTGAATTAGTTTTACAAGGAGATAATATGAAAAAGTGAGATAATATATTACAAATATATGTGTGTATTCTATGTATACACAACCTAAATATTAAGTATACATATGAAACAGATACTCTAATAAATCATATTAAATTATTAATAGTATTGGTCTTTCGGAATTTGGTGACAATGGGTAGAAATATTTGTAACATGTATATGTATTTTTCTATAATGTCATAGAAACTGTAATTTTCTCTACAAAATATACAATGCTAAAACCTATATTTTCAGTTTCACTATATTGAACTATAGTATGTTTACAAGTTACAAGATCACCATAAAAGATACTTTCCAAGATTTTGGAAGGCAAAATTTCTCAACAGGTAATAACGCAAAATTCAGCTGTCAGTGTAATATTTTGTGTTCCATCAAAACAAAATCAGCATAATGAAACATTGCTGTTCTGGATGTCATTGCAAAGAGGTTTTTATCCTAAGCCTGCGACTTAGAACTTGTTGGCAAGTTGTTTAGCCTCTGAGAAGGGGCCTGGATGACTGCTGAGACAGGAGAGTTGGTTTGGATTTTCTCTCAGGTGATCTTCCACCCTATTGTGCCTGTGTCCACATCACACACACAAAATTTCCATCAAACGATGTTTCAGTCAAATCAGCCTATGTTTACATTTTGAGATATGCAGCTAAATGGCCGCAGTGTGACCTGACATCTAATAGGAGTGCATTTCTTTCAAAGAGAATTTAATGTTTGTTCCTTACACGTTTGTTTCCCCTCTTTTATTTCTTCTTTTTGTCATAAAAAGATTGAAAATCCTCGCTGTATTAGTGTGCAGAACATAAAACATAAAGCTCTTCCTGAAAGGTAATTTTCCAAGAATGAAAAATATGAGAATGGTATTTGATTGTTTGGTTTTCTGTCATTCAATGTTGCATTAATGCAACCATTTTTCCCAAACTATGAATGGCCGCACTCCTGAAAACTGCCAGTTACAAATGAAAAACGATAACACTTTGAAAGCAAAACCTTTCCTAAATCCCACTAGGTTTCCAGATGAATTTGAAAATTAGTTAGTGGTACATATTCGAACACAAATATATCCATTGTTGGGGAAGAAATTAAATAATTTATAAACTCCATCTCCATATTCTCAGCAAAATATTCTTTTTTACATCTTAAAATGAATAATTGTTATAAATCTTATCCTACTCTTTTTCATTTTTTCCGAGGACATTTATATTTTGTTTTTTCCTGATCACGTGGATTTTAATACACTAAAGTTAGATACCATGAAGTGAAACCTAGAATTGCCACAGTTTATGAAGCCTTTTATATTATTTCACTAAAACAGGTGAGTGTGTGTGTGTGTGTGTGTTTCCTGGTTATATGTTGAAACCTAAAAATTCTAGAAACCTAAAAATAGAGAAAAAGCAAAAAAGCTTAATCCGATTACCAACATTGCACAACCCAGAGAAAAACACCTGGATTAAATTTGACATCTTACTTCAAAGTCTATTTGGATAAACTGTTATGGGAAAAAGTGACTCAGGTTAAATCACTGTATGCTTCCATTAAGGGACAAAACTCTACCTGTCATCATAACTAGTATAGACTCTCTGGCTTAGACCAAATTTGAGAGGCCAGTTTTGGAGATTACTTAAGTGGAAGCTAAAATGATGGTTTCAAATTAAATTAACAGTCAGAGAAAAACAAAACTTTTCCTTGTGGCCCTCTTGGGAAATTAGTCACCTGTGTTAGTGTGGCTGAAAGAGTAACTTTCCTGTGTATTAGGACCAGCATGGGTTCTCCCACATTCAAAGTATGCACAACTAAACTGGTCTTAGGGCCCATGCCGTAAACCAAGACAGCTTTCTTTCTGTAATCTGATGGTTGCTCTGTGTCTGCATCTCTGAAAGTTCCTAGTCCAAGGCATGCAGAAAAGAGAGATGTTAGAATTCCTAAAAGAAAAATTTTAAGCAAATTAAATTTGAGTTTAATTGAGCAAAGAACTGTTTGTGAATCAAGCAGTCCTTGAACCAAAATAGGTTTAGAGAGGCTCCAGGCTGCCACATGGTCAAAGAAGATTTATGGACAGAAAAGGAAAGTGACGTTTAGAAAACGGAAGTGAAGTTCAGAAACAGCCAGATCAGTTACAGCTCAGTGTTTATCTTATTTGAACACGATGTGAACCGTTGGCTTTAGGCATAATTTAAAATATGTGAGGAGGCAGCTTTAGTCTAAACTTAATTTAACAGACCCACATAAGACCAATGGTTTAATAAGATCTCAAACTCTTTAAAATGTGCATTCTAATGAAGATGATATTTAGCTCTACCTAACTTTTCAAATTCCTTTTCGTGCACTCAGAGCATGTAATATTTCAGCCATCCCACACTTCCTACAGTTTCTCTCTTACCTTTTTATCTCGGCACATGGCATGCCCGCTGTTGGAACACCTCCAACTTGCCCAATTGGCCATGTCATATATCCAGACTGTGTTGAGGTCTAATCTTCCATGTGATGCCTGCCATAAACTCCCCCAGGGACAGATAGTCTCTCTCCTGTGTACCTCATGGCACTTGGCATATATTTCCAATTTACTGTCATGCTAGTCATGGGTTTGTTATTATTTATCTCTAATTTTAGCCTGTGAGCTCCTGGCAGAAAGTAACTGTCTTACTCATCTTTGAATCCCTAGTACCTAGAATATTCTCTAATCTTAGTAGGCACACACACATGTCTGTTTAAAAAAAAATGAGCTTTACACAGTGACAGTGTCATAGCCAGTGAATTTCATCTGAGGTGTGGTTATTGCTAATAGAAAACTTTTCCCAATACCCTGCCATGACGACTTGGATTATAGTCGGAATTGGCAATTTTTGACAGTCTCCATGGAGCCTGAATAAGGAAAAAAGAATTCAAAGTACAAAAAATATAAAATAATAAACATTAAACGTATTAAACTGTAATAAATTGGAGAATAATTACTGTGATTTTGTAGGGTCTACTGAAAAATGAAGTTCCTTGTTTAAAGAACTAAGAATGGCTCTTTGATTTCTTTGTGTCTTAAGCACTGTTTCCCATCTGTCACTCTGCACAATTTATGATCAGCTCAATGAAATAATATCTAAGTATGGTAATCTATAAGATCAGCACAGGTGAGGGGAACTATGCAAATGCATTGATATAAAACATTTCCATTTTTATTACAGGTTAGGAAGAAAGCATAAGAGTTTTCAAGTTAAAAAGAAACAAAAACTTTTATTGGGGCCTAGGGAAAGAGTCTGTGTTTCATAAATTGCATTAAATATTTGGTATGTAAAATTCCGGCTGCTGTTCTGCATTAAATGGGTGAAATGCATCCCCTATCTAATTAAGTAACCATATGGAGACAAGTCACATTTACATAAACAAAAGCAGAGAACCTGGCTCTATTGTATTCTCTTCTAGATTATATAACTTGGTTTTCGTGCTATGGCTTTCTGCTCTGACTTGCACATTGCCATGGACCAATACACTCACGGAAAATGAATGGAAATTAAAGAGCTGATTCTAAAGAGCCTTATTCTATTTACATATTGCAGTGAGAGGGGCTCTGGAATATTATGAAATCTCTTATGTTTACTAACTGCTTGCCTGTTAAAGCCAGTAGTTTTGGGATCTGGCCAACAGGAAACCCATTGTGTATTAGCCTGCTTTGCAAGATAGCCATGTGCCTGGTGTATGGTGTAACCATTTCCCTGCATGTTTATTGAATAAATGCTTCACAGCATGTGTTCAGAATTTTTGACCTAACAGAATTTTACTAATGTAGCTACAGGGAGCAAATGATAAAGAAGTATTATAAGCAAAGGTCCATATCACTAAGGCTCTAAGATGAAAACGATAATAGCAATCAGAAAATCAAAACATAAATGTTAGGATAATACGTTTGAGAATGGAAATAATAGGGATGATAATTGTAATTCTTTCCTTTTTATACTATTCTTTGTCCACATAGGGATCTTGCTGAAGGTTGTGGTCATCGTGACACATTATATGTATGTAACATTTAATCACTTACTCTATTTTTACATATATTTTAACATCACAAAACACCAACAGATTTTAATCATCCGTTTTTGTGGATGAGAAAAATGGAACCTCAGAGTTAAGTTACTCACCCAAGGTCACAGAGTTAATGCAAACCTTGTCAGGTTATTTGATTCTCATGTGAAGTTCTTTAGTTTGAGCAGATTGAGTCTTTGCTTTTGGGTATATTCCCTGCTTACAATTTGAAACAAATACCAGTGTAGTGAAAAGACAATCATATTTTGGAGATCAAAGAGGGAAAAATAGTGAAATGTATTTCAAAGTAATATCATCTCAAGAAAAAAGTATACAAATAATTTAGAACGTCTCAAAACCTCTTGATACTCACCTTCACTTAAACAATAATCCTATGGATCAGGATTTTATGAATCCCAATTCTGGATGACTGTGGTCCCCAGTGTGCCTGATTGCATTACAAATACAACACATCAGATGATCAAATATTCACAGTTTACTGTGGTTAACCCTGATAGAATGACAGTGCCTTTGGCCCAATTGTTTTAATTGCTGATGTTCACTGCCTCCTTATAAATTAATTTGATTTTTAGTTGTTAAATATCCCTGCTTTAAAATAAACATTTTTTTTCTCAATGAAACACAGAAAAATTCTTACTTTATTCTCAAACAATTTTTCTTTGCCTTGCTTACGTCTAACTTTGGTGAGGATGTCTGGTCAGTTAAATACAGTTGGTAGAACACTTGTTCTCTCAAAAGTACTTATTTTCTCAAGACCTTCTCTGGGATGGGTTTCTAACATGCCCATCCTGACCTGGAATCACCATCCAGCTGACAGGTTAACCAAATGGTCTTTAAGGTAAATGTCATATTTATTGTAAGTGAAGAGGTGATACATAGATAACGTGTCTTTTGGTATCATCTTATGTCATCATTTTTTTTGTTTGTTTTTATTTTTTGAGATGGAGTCTTGCTCTGTTGCCAGGCTGGCGTGCAGTGGCATGATCTCGGCTCACTGCAACCTCCACCTCCCTGGTTCAAGCTATTCTCCTGTCTCAGCCTCCTGAGTAGCTGGGACTACAGGCGTGCACCACCGCGCCCGGTTAATTTTTGTAATTTAGTAGAGATGGAGTTTCACCATTTAGCCAGGATGGTCTTGATCTTTTGACCTTGTGATTCGCCCACCTCAACTTCCCAAAGTGCTGGGATTACAGTTGTGAGCCACCATGCCTTGTCTCATCTTCTGGTTTTATGAACTACACGCTATTACTCTACAACAGGCATTCACTAAATTAGAGTATCAGACTTATAAGGGTCTGTTCCTCTGAAACAGTGAAATCCTGAGGTGGTTGGAGTCATAGATCTGCGTTACTGTCACTGCAGCCTTAGACAAGATGCATAATTAACGCATCTCCTCAGATACACAATGACACCCACCTTGGAGAGTTTGTGTCTCTTGAATGACCAAATCCTTGTAGAAGGCTTATTACCATAGTCTGTAGTTACTTGGTAAGCAGCAGCTCTTATTTTGACTTTCTGGTAATGGAGATTCCATGTTTCTTAATCTACCAATGTTCTTTCCTGAACAGCTGAAGGCATTAGGATTTAATTAAGTGAAGCTTGGAGTGCTCGCGTAAGATGGAAGATGAGCTGTATCAGTGAGGAATGTTTTCTGCTGCAAATAACAGAAAATCTCTCAGTAGCTTTAAGTAGGGATTTTTTTTTTTTTTAACTGTAATGTATTATCTGGTGTTAGTTAAAGCTCTCAGTGATACCTGTGCTGGGACTTCTGTGTTCCTGTTGGACTTTTATTCCTGAACTCCAATTAAGGCAGAAACAGGAGAAAGGACAGTACCAGCCACACCTTTTTTCTTTTTTTGAGACAGCCTTGCTCAGTCACTCAGGCTGGAGTGCAGTCACGCCATCTCGGCTCACTGCAACCTCCACCTCCCAGATTCAAGTAATTCTCCAACCTCAGCCTCCTGAGTAGCTGGGATCACAGGTAGGCACGCACCACCACACCTGGCTAATTTTTGTGTTTTTAGTAGAGACGGGGTTTCACCATGTTGGCCAGGCTGGTCTCAAACTCCTGACATCTGTTGATCTGCCGACCTCTGCGTCTCAAAGTGCTGGGATTACAGACGTGAGCCACCATGCCTGGTCACATCTACTATTTTTATCCGGGAAATACAAGCTTTCACAGAAGCTTCTGTTCATGACTAATGGGCTAAACCAGTGTTACCTGACCATGCTGACCTCCAAGAAGGTCATCGAGTGTGTGACATTTCCAGCCTCTGCTGTGAATGTGATGTGGAAGGAGGCAGATGGCTGGATCAGTCACCAGCCATTTGTCCTACCACAATTTCAGACTTTTCTCTGAATTATACAGTGGAGTTGTGGCATATGTGTTGAGATTATAAATAAATTTATCTTGAAGGAAAAAAGGCATTTATACAGTCTTGCATAAAACTATTTATTAAAGTAAGTGACCTCTTCCCACCCTGTCCCAAAGAATAGAATCTGTCAGCAATTTATAAGCCCCTTAAGTTTCCACTTCAGTTCTTGTTCCTCTGTCTTGCCTAGTCTTCCTTTTTACTGAAAGAATTGACACTCTCCTGAAGAATTCAATTCTAAACTACTGAGCAGGGCTAAGCATGGTTGGCAAGTGTGTGGTGAGGGAGGTGACTCCTTGCCCTTTGGGATGAAAAAGGGGTGTCCTGGAGAGGCAGCCTGCTGAAGGGATTCAGCCTTCTTGCTGGAAGGAAGCCACCTGCTGGGCAGGGCTTTGCTGCACCAGGAATGAGAACCTGACCCAGTGTGGAACTTGGGGTGTGAGAAGATGGGGCCAGGTATAGAGATAGGCAGTAACCACTCCCAGCACTTCACCATACAAAGCAAAAAAAAAAAAAAAAAAGCAAATATGTTCCTATTTTTACCTACCTTATTTGTTAGAAGGGTGCAAATAAACAGTGATATGTATACAAATAGATGCATACAATCAATCCCTCACCTTCTCAATGCCACTCTAACAAATCATTTTCCTTTGTTTCTTACTTTCATGGATCCCAGCCCTTTTTGTATTTATGCAATAATAAAAATGTAATGTTACATTCTACCATTTTTGTCCTCCTCTGAATATTAGCATTGACTGATTCTTTTTATTTCTGAAACAGGATCTCTCTTCCACCCTTCCACCCTCCCTCCCCCCCCCCCTCCTCCCCTCCCCTCTCCTCCCCTTCCTCCTCCCCTCCCTCTCTCTCCCTCCCTCCCCCGAGGCTGGCGTGCCAGTGGTGTGATTTCAATTCACTGTCCCTACCTCCTGAGCTCAAGCAATCTTCCCACCTCAGCCTCCCAAGTAACTGGGACTACAGGCATGCACCCAGCGAAATTTTTAATTTTTAATTTTTTTGTAGACGAGGGTCTCACTATGTTGCCCAGGCTGTTCTCAAACTCCTGGACTCAAGTGATCCTCCTACCTTTGCCTTCCAAAGTGCTGGGATTACAGGCGTGAGCTACTGTGCCTGGTCTAAGATTGATTGATCGTTAAGGGGGATCCTTGGGTACCTTGGACAGTTACCCTCCGATTTTTCCATTCAACTCTTCTGCTCTGTGTTTGCAGGCTGAACATGCTGCTTTAGCTAAAGGACATTTATTGCAATGGGAGGAGAGGAACCTAATTGCTTTTAGATCTCTGTGTGTTTTGTGAGTTGAGCGGTTAAAACTTGATCTATTATATAATCTGGTGCCTTTATTTATTTGGCATTTATGTATGCTGTATAAATAGACATGTTCATGCATTGTTACTGGTTAAAAAATGCATCATTCAAATTGTACGTCTGAACCTGTCTGCTCAGCCTACCACTATAGATTTGAGTATGTTTTATCAAGTGACCCTTTTAGGGAACAATGAATTGGACAGAACTAAAGCCCCTGATGGGAGTATACGCAGTTGATTCTTATATAAAATCTTTTAATACTTTTGTCATTTCCTTTAATATATGGATTTACAAAAGCCTGCAGGGAATTGGTATTTGTTGAAGATAGAAATTGGCATAAGCATTCAGTAACAAAACAAATTAATATGTGATTTATTTTATGAAATTCATTTAAATATAATTCAAACTACTTTTTTAAAAAACCACATCTGAGATTCTACCCTGAAACCCCTCTTACTCCCTGTGATGTATACACATTTTATTTGCTGACTTTGTTGTACTTTTGACATAAACTGTTTGCCCTTTTTAGAATATTTGCTTTACAGTTTTTTGATGCTGACTGAGAGTTACTTACATGAGTTAGCTTTTCCATTGCAAATACATTTCAAGGCTTATAGTATCTTAAACTCTTTGTTATATGAGGCTGTTTTTTCTCCCCTTAAGTTGATGTATTTAATGGGGAAAAAATCTTATTTGGAAGAATCAAGTTACAGTTACATTTAATTTGTTGCAGTGGCAAACTGTGCATGTGTGTTCTCAGTCACTAGGAGCCGTTTACTCTCTTTTTATTTTCTTCCTCTTGAAGTCTGAGCCTTTGTACCTTTTTATGTTTGAAAATTCCTCCTAGAGTTCCTAAACAGAACATTACTTTTTTTTTTTTTTTTTTTTAAATTGAGACAGAGTCTTACTCTGTCACCCAGGCTGGAGTGCAGTGACATGATCTTGGCTCACTGCAACCTCTGCCTCCCAGGTTCAAGCATGTCTCCTGCCTCAGCCTCCCGAGTAGCTGGGATTACAGGAGTACACCACCACACCTGCATAGTATTTTTATTTTTAGTAGAGATGGGTTTTTGCCATGTTAGCCAGGCTGGTCTCTCACTCCTGACCTCAAGTGATCTGCCTGCCTAGTGCCTCTCAAAGTGTTGAGATTACAGGTGTGAGCCACTAACCTCAACAATTTAAGAGGCCTAGGCAGAAAAATAAGTCAGAAAATTACTCCTATTTTTAATGAATTAGGTTTACCATTGACAATGCTTCCTGATTTGGGTTGTTGATGACTTAAGCATGAATAGTAAGAGGCTCTGGTCAAAGCTGCATCAATAGCATGCAGAAAGCCAGTTTAGGTCACAAGATGCACCCCTTTTCCCAGACTCTCTCTGGAGAGCTGGATCTGATGTGTGAGTGCATTAGTCAGCTTGCTCTAGAGGGATAGGGTGCTCTAGAGAGCTTTAAAGAATAAGCTCTCACACATCAGAATATAGAATAGATGTATATATAAAGGATATAGATACATATGTAAAGAATATAGAATAGATGCATATATATAAAGGATATAGAATAGATACATATATAAAGGAGAGTTTATTAAGGAGTATTGACTTCCGATCACAAGGTGAGGTCCTACAATAGGCCATCTGGAAGCTCAGAGGAGCAAGGAAGCCAGCCCAAGCCCCAAAACTGAAGAACTTGAAGTCCAACGTTTAAGAGCAGGAAGCATCCAGCACAAAAGAAAGATGTAGGCCAGAAGTCTCAACCAATCTAGTCTTTTCATTTTCTTCTGCCTGCTTTTATTCTGGCCATGCTGGTAGCTGATTACATGGTACCTGTCCAGATTGAGGGTGTGTCTGCTTTTCCCAGTCCACTGACTCACATGTTATTCTCCTTTGACAACACCTTCACAGACACACCCAGGAACAATACTTTGCATGGTTTCATACATTTAAGTTGACACTCCGTGTTAACCATCACAGTGAGAATGTTCTTCCAGTCATTCACTAGGTTGTTGTCTTCCACTTCATCCTAAAGGCTGACTTGGTCTCAATGGGAACAACCATTTCTAGGACAGAGTTAATTTTGGTTTTGAAATGTTTGCTATCTTTGGTCTTACAGTAGAATGGCCTTTGGAGGGTACAAGATGCCACTCCCCCTTGTCCTCTTCACTGTGCTCAGCAATCACACCCTGCTGCCTTTGATTTTGTGACAGTTTACTGGGACTTAAGTGCTTGCTGACTGCATGAAGAAACAAGGAGGTACAGTTTTGCCTCCTGCTCTTCCCTTCTTATATTGCTTCCTCAGTTTCCTGAGATTAGGAGAGAGTGCAATTTGTTCCTTTCATTTGAAATGTAATTGTAGCTACTGGCTATAGGATCAGAGCTATTAGTGATTTTAGTTCTCAC